TATCGTTGGTCCAATTATAAATCATCTGCACGATTGATTAATGGACAAATCTTCTAAGGTTCACGCATTTTCACGCTGAGCAAGGAAATCTATAAATTTGCTTAGATTCCCACCATATTTGACTGTCAGAAAAAGCGGGCACTCGGTGTCTAGTGCCTATGATGGTTGCAGCTGCAGTAGACAATCTGGGACTTTGTTATCAGAGAGATGCCTGTCTGGGGTGATGCATCCTGTTCCATCTGCACGTCTGCTTAGTTCATTTTCTGAGATAAATGGTCTACTTGAGTTTTTTATTCAGTTTTGATACTGAACAAGGCAACCTAATTGTTAATCGAGATGCCAAAGGGTTACTTGCTCTTGATCTCTAGGCAGTGACTCTCTCTTCCCATTGCAAAAGGAATACTGATTAAGCAATCAATATGTCAAAGTTTCCTGATCAGGACACAGCTGAATAAATAACATATTTCTCAACACTTTAGGTCTTCGTTCAATTCCTTGGCTTGATTTATCAGAAACCTCTGCTTTAGCTTGGCAAGATTAAAATCGTTATTGCAGGTCAGAATAAAGCTAACCAGCTGACTGCCGATGAGATGCTACAAATTATTATGTTTTTTACCCTGGTGGGATTAAATTTCACCCTTCCAAATTAATGGATACTTGGCACAATATTTGGTAGTTGTTGAGTGTCTACATAATGGCCATCTCTAACCTATTTTTCCCATTTAAACCTTCACGAGTTCAGTCTTGCCCCAAATGTAAATTTAGTTTGTGTTCTCTGCATAACACACTTTATTAGCTTCCAACTCAATTTGTTGTCTCACAATATAAGCACTTTAACTGTGTAACCAAACTTCTTGTTCAATATTTGATAAGGATACCCCTATCAGTCTCATCTGAAATCGTACATGTTTCCAAAAATACTATTCAACTTACTTAACCAATAATTGCAAAGTTCCTAGTATCTGATTCTGAGTAGCTACTCCACTACTAGTCTGTTTTCTGTACTTCCCATCTGAGAATGTATATGTGTATATTTTGTCCTCAATTCCTCCACATTAGCAAAGGTATTCTCCATTAAATCATCTTTTGTTTATTTTATGACAGCCCAGGACTCTTAAGCACTAACTAGATTTCTATCTGGTGCCTCCTGAAACATTTACATGAACAGCCACTGTGGTTGGCTAAAATGCTTTTAAAATAATAAAGTCTGGCAATCAAGTCCTTATGGAATTTCAAAGCCTTTGCAAGAAATCAATATCCTGGAGCTACAATAAACTAAAAATGTAGTTTGGTTAATCTAAGTGTTCCCCCACTGTTGTGCAAATAGCTTTTGCAGCTCTCTTAAAATGATACTCTCTGCCTAATATGCCTTCATTTCTGGAGCAGATATATATTTTGCATTCACATCTTAGAACAATTTGCCTCAACAGAGAAACTAATGAGAATTCTGCTACTCAGAGTAAGTTAACTCCCCCCTTTAGAATTCAACAGAAATTTAAGATAAAGTGAATGGAAAGTACCGCTTCAAAAGTGTTGTTACTGGCCAAATGTTAGATTATTTAGAATTTAGGATATTAAAACCTCTTAAATAGCTTCAAAAGTTTAAATATATATTATAGATTCAGGAAATTCTAAAAAACTAACCCTATTTTGAGAATAATGAGGAATAATATCATTCTCTATATATAATTATAAACATATACGTATATCCGTCTTGATGATGATAATGATGATGACAATGAATAAGACATACAATATGGAAAGTCTCCACAGAAATATTCAATGGAAACTTTAGTTGAAATAACCATCTTATGCTCTACACCAGTGATGGCGAACGTTTTTCTGCTCGGGTGCCAAAAGTGCGCACGTGCATGCGTGCCCACACTCATAATGCAATGCCCTCCCCCGCACATGGATGCACAGCCCCCCTGCGCTTCTCCCCTGCGTATGTGCACAGGCCTCACTGAAGCCTCCGGACTTCTGGTAGGCCCATTGGGCTGTTTTTTGCCCTCCCCAGGCTTCAGCGCCAGGGGAGGCATGAGACCCCGTTGTCAAGCGGCGGAGGAGGAGGAGAAGAAGAAGAGCGGTGAGGCTTTGTGCCGGCCAGCCAGGTGAGGAATAGGTCGGGCGGGGGGGGCTGGCTGNTGTGATTACAAACAGCCCAACCCTTTTGCTATATTCCAAAGGTTAATGCCAGTTGCCCAAACACTTTTCTGAATTGATTCCAATTTGTTTATTTTCTAGTGACTCATACGAAGGAGAAGGTGGTACTATTCTGCTAATTCTCCTGACTCTTCAGAAACTTTTGGTGCCATTGTTATGGAGTCTTTCCGATTGAGCAATTCCCAGTATTCAAGTACGAGATTGTCAAAATGTACTACTAGAAAATGAACATCTAAAGAAGTAAGGTTTTTGAAGATAAGCAGTGACATCTGCTACATCTCGCTAATGTTTGTTTTTCATCAAATTAAGGTTAAAGTACTAAAATATTGAACCCACTGCTAGTCAATCTGTTTAGAGGCCACTGCTAAAATTCTCTACTTTAAACTCAAATTGTATTCAAGATCTTTCATAGGAAAATCAGGACAAGTTGGTCAGATATAATGAAGATAAATGTGGCACAACTATTAACATTGAAGACTAATACAACCACATATACATATACAGTAACTAAGGATTTAATTAGGCCATGCTGTTTAACTAAAAGAAAAAATCATTCGTTTTCCATTCTTCCTTTTAAAAAGTCCTGCAGATACACACGTCCCATTTCCTTTCTATTTATCTTGGATCCAAATTAACACTGCTTACTTTTGTGGAGTTTAATTTTATTTAGGCTTATTTATCATCGAAAAAGGCCGAGTAGGGAATTCCAATGCTCATTACAGAACTTATATCTTGCATAATTATTTAGAAAATTCAAATCACTACCTGAAAAAAAAAATAAGAACACTTAAAAGCTACTTACAGTCTCTCTAGGGATCTCAGCCCAATGAAAGAGTTGCTCTTTAGCCATAAGATCTTGTTATTACTCAGAATTCTGAAAAGGAATTAAAAGAAATGTTTTTTGTTAGCAAAACACAGTCGCAATTTTACTCATTAAAAACATGTAATTACAGTAAGTGACGGTTCTGTTAAACACTAATCACAGACTTCTCTGCCCCATTTACATTTCCTCTTAAGCAGCAAATAAAATCATTTGTAAAAAATTATGTCTTTAACCTGTTCCTATTTAATCAACAACATAAAATAATATATGATGCTTTAGATCATAATGAAACTTAGAATAAAAATTTAACACCTGCAGCTGAACAACATGCTTAATAAATGCTTCTTTGTAGGACACATCAATTGTGGGAACAGTTGTTCATGAAAATAAATAGCATTAACTCCCCACTGAGATATTGATTACATGCTCTCTCCACTCTGCTAACTGCCATGACATTGTTGTTGGTTCAACATAGTATTTAATTTCCCAAACCTCCTTCAATAGGATGTGCAATGTGATTTTTTTGTAAATTATCAATAAATGTGGGGCCTATGCTCTCTGAGCTCGGTTGTTTTCTTGCAGATGTTTCACTGCAGGAATGACACACAGGTAAACTATATTTGAATATGGGGATATTCACTGAAATATATTACACTAATGAAATAATTGAAATTCCTATCAGCCTGATTTGTTCCTTTCTATAAGGAAATCTAGGGTTCTAGTCTAGGGAGGGAGGGAGGAGGGAGAATTGAGATTGATCCTGATATGCTAACTACCTGGCCACAAATGATTTAGCACTCCTTCAGTGAAGGTAAAAACCCAGCTATAATGCCAGATGTCTCGTCAGATGTCAAATCTCTTTAAATTAAAATAAAACTGTTTTACATTTTTCTTATAAAAGCAGATGAAAGAAGTTTTTTAGGCCTCTGTAACTGAAAACACACATTGATTTCTATGCTCATTTTCCATTTAATAGAGTCAGCTGCTTCTGTCTAAATGATTTTTTCTATGAGTGCCAGACAAAACCTGGAAGTACTGAAGAAAAATGTAAATGCAGGAAAAATTTTAGTTTCTAACTGAATTCAGTTTTGGCTCATTAAGGACACTCTATATTGATTCAAACTTAAAAATTAATTCACATTTTAATAATACAAAAATATTAGGTATAAATAAATCAATGCATCATACCGAAAGGTTTTTTTTTAAATTTGACAATACTTCTGTATCTGAAATTTGATTAAATATTAATAACATTCAAAGCCAAGTATCAGATTCTCCATCTTTTATGAAAAAGAAATACTCAGAACTCTGAGTGAGCAGCAATATTAAAGATAAAATAGTTTTAGGCAGGCCATTTAAGGTATGCCATTAAAATTTTGAAATGTGTCGTTTCTTTCCAGATTCAACACTAACAAATGACCACAGTGCCTTCATTTTGCATACTATTATTCATTATAAAGCTAGGAAGCACTTTATATTATAACATGTAAGAGGTGGTTTTGGGGTGTACATACATCATGGAAGAAAAATGAAAATATGAGAATGTAATTCAGTTGTCTATAGTATATGCAATAAAAGATTTGAGACTATTACAAAAGATATAACGTAATAAAACATTCTATACGTAGGACAGATTTGGTATTGCTGAGAGTAAATCTTGGAAAGAATGGAAGAAAAGGAATAGAGTGAAATCAAAACAGCAGGAAGATTAAAAAAAATATTTTTGCATGAAAAATACATGTGTAGGTTTACCTAGGTTGAACAGAATAAATAGAAAAGCGGGGGAAAGGAAGGAAGGAAAATTACATCCAGTCAATGGTAGTCATTTGTCAGTAAGTAGAAATGAAAAACATGCCAACATTTTAATGAAAGAGAACTCATAAATGCTGAAAAATGATGAAGTGGTAGACATGGGTGATAAAGTTTAAGATATTTTCAAATACTGCATGGTTCGCTTATAAAGTGGCTTTGTAATTTGTTTAGCGGGTATGAAGGCGGCTTCTGTGCTTGTGAAGAGGAAGAATGTCATAGATTGTGTTCCACTATATGCCAAAGGAAAGCAAGAATGAAAACTATCACTCCAAGCAGGTTAGTTTGTTAAATATGCCCGAGAGGCGTTTGGCAGAGTTCTGACTCAAAGGCTACAAGAAATGCATAACATTTGAGAAATGCAATGTGGCTTTATGCCAGGCAGAAGAAGATGCAAGCATGGTTTTGCTCCTTCAGCGAGAAAAATACATGAATCAACGTAAGGAACATATAGCAAATGCCATCAAGAGGAACCACAGATTCAGGCCTTCTCAGTTGCTCATTTCTCATTTCTACAGAACAGGATCCTCCCTGAAATTTGAGTGGCACCAAACTTGTTGAGATTTACAAAAGCCATTCAAACTTGGGAGGTTCCAGCAGATTAGAGATATGGAGATGGTACAAATCTGTTTCTTCCTGCAATACATTTCTATTCAGCTGTTTTTGGTAAATCAAACTCTTTCTGCACTCTTTCAGAAGTTTTTAAACTATCACAGGTAAGTAATTCAGCATAGTTACCTGACTTTCTGCCCATATTTTCTCCAAAAGGAATCTGCCACTTTTAAATAACGTTATAAAAAAAGCCAACCACTTTTTCATAACTACAATCAGATTTTAATGTTTTATTCATCAACACCATAATTCGTATTGACTTTAAGCATTGGGAAATATCAAAGAATTTCTATTATATCTAGAATTATATTTGCCAACATTTCAAAGATGCTAATAATAATAATGTGTACATTGGATCAACACTTGTAGCTATTCTATATCATTTTCAGTTCAGACACAATTATAAATACACCAAATGTTATAATGTAAAGTGGAGATTACAATATTAATTTCACATAACTTTGAAAGAGGGAGGTCTGGCATTTGACCATTCCAGAGGAATGTATTTATAAGTTCATATACGGTAATTGGATAAATTTATTGAATGGAATTAACACAGCTAACCCTCTAAGCATGTATAACAATCATGAGACTATTCATTTGTACTGTATTTATTCTTCCCACAAATTATTTTCATCCACCTATTAATATTCCCATTAATTGCGCTATGCAATTTGAAATGCCAAAATAAGTATTCTACAAATAGCTATCCTTAAGCATTGATAAAATCTTAATAGAAAACAAACTCTAATTTTTATAAATTGTCATAAATACTTTATTACTATTGGCAAAATGATAGGATTATTCTAGTTTACATTACTCTGGCAGAAAATAAGAGTATAAAACTATGGTATATTATATATTTATAATATTCAATATTAGAGCCTAAATTAATGTCATCCAAGAAATGAGGTATTTTCTTCCATAATTTCCAAAAGAAGGGAGGGAAAACAAAGATAGGTCAGAGAGATAAAAATCAAAATTAAATAGCCTAGGAAAGTTTGCCAGAACTTAGAAAATAATGGGCTTGCCAAAAAATAATGAGAAGTATTGTCACGGATCTCCCCTACTCTATGTAGTCCTAGTTACAGTAGCTCTATAATATAATTAAGTCTTCTTTGAGTCCAGCTCAACCTCTGGTAAATACATGAACACATCCATGTAATTTTCTTAGCAACATAAGGAAATGTTTGGATTCCTGGCTGTCTTCCATATTATGTTCAATCCTGCTTAGGTTTTCACGATGAACTACAGCTGGAAAGGTGTTGCTACCAGCTAAGCACAAGCTAATATAATAGATTGTAACAGGCGCAGAGAAGACTCAAAACGACTCTTCATCCCAGTCAATAAGCTTTTCAAAACTTCACACAGTACTAAATAATTGAAGTCATGGAAATAAATTGAGAACGCGTACAATGCATGCCTCAGTGTAGGAAAAAGAAAGATTTAAAACTTTAAATTAAGTTTCCTATTAAGTATCATATTTGCCAACGTGGCATACATAATTCATTTGAAAGTTGGAATGTTCCACTGGACTGAAACGGTATTTACTAAATTAAATCAGCTGTTTCAACACAGCGGCTTCCAGAAAGGCTAGGAATACTGCTACTGAAAATCACGGTCAACATTATCACTGATATTAAAAAGCAAC